ACGCAGGCCCTGCTGATACCCAGCCATGGTGAGCTGCAGCACTTGGCGGCGCTGATTGGGAACGTCTATTTGAAGAGCTCGCATTGCTTCATACGGATTGCGGCGCTCCAGGGTCTGCTTTGTCTGCTCGAATGCTGCAGTCGAACCAACACGGCAATAGGCAAGCTCAGTGATGAACTTGCATTGCTGCGTGACTTAATTGTTGGCTACATCAATCGTCATGGAATCATTGATGAGAGGTAATACATACATGCACACACACACACTGAAATACAAATTCTGTTTTTGGCCAAACCTCAAGTTTCTATGTAACGATTTGCCCTGCATGTTAACCAGCTGGGATTGGGCAACAGTTGCCGCACGCTAGCCATGTTGCCACATCTTGGGTGCAACCGCAGATAATGGCAACAACAGCAAGTTGTAGAGCAACTGTTGGCTCTATTTACGATGTGCATTAGTTGGGCTCTAGCCAACATTCGGTCGCTCCTCTTCCATCCAATAATGGCAAAAGTTCGCATTTTGCATTACGAACAGTTTTGGCTGCAGCGTGCTGCGTTCTGCGGATCTACCTGGCTGCCTGGCTGCCTGGCTGCCTGGGCTGCCTCACTACCCTTTGTGGCGTTATCAAAAACTTTTCAAGGACTGCGTCGGTTGCACCTCCTTCCTTTTGCTGGCAAAAGTCGAAGTTCTAATAACTCGACGTGGCTTCCAATAAAGTAACTCTCTCCCTCCCTCTCTCTCTCTCTCCGAATCACTCTTTCTCTTTTTCACTGTGGCTGTCGATATATTTTGCCAGCTCAAGCGGAATGGCTGATCGATGACACTGCCAGGACTTCTGGTACTCCTGCTCCAGCTGCTGCTCCTGCTGTAGCCAAATTGTAATTATTGGCACTGCAGCTGCTGCTGTTGTTGCTGCTACTGTTGTTGTTGTTGCCCGGGTGCTGGCAAGTTTTGGCTTAGCCATTTGCTGTGCGGCTATTGATGAAATTTCATATGCCAGCACTTCAGTTGCTTTGCTGCTGCAAAGTTTGTTTTGCTGTTTTCTGCTAGCAACCTTGAAACTGTTGCAGCTGCCGCTGAGACGAAGCCAATGGCAAACGGCAAACATTGAAAATTATGAAATTGAAATCGGGGCGACTTTGTGTGTACGCAACGCGTGCAACCAATATGCAAACACGCCCCGAACGCCATTTTCCAATAGCCGCAACAATAATTAGCGGCTTTTAGCGCAGCGAAAATCTAATCAGCACGCAGATAGCGGACCTAAATAGCACGCCCAAAAGTCAAGGCTTGCGCTGGGCTAATTATTTTGTAATTGAACGCGCGTAGCTGGCCGGGGCAGCAGCTGCTGCCCAGCATGCAGTGGAACGCATCAAAAATTTCTAATTAATTTAGAGAGAATAGAGAGAGCAGGAGCAGCGTCTGTTGACAGCGAGTCCGACGAGCTGCTGTTAGCGTCAATGATGCTGCATTGATTGATGGGCTGGCTCCCAGGCAAGCTCAGTGTGTAATCCAGTTTGATTTTTGCATTTTATCTGCATTTCTATTCTGTTATTTTTCTGAATTTTTTTTCTGTTTCCTTTTCTTGAATTTCTGGACAGCCCGCTGCAGTTCAGTGATGCACATACGAAGCTGGTCTGGACGCTCAATTACAGCCTGATCGAGTGGACGTCGAAATTTGTGCCGCAATGCCATTTGCTGTCGAATACGATTATTGCGGCCAATAATTTTCTGAAGAAGACACAGAATGAGGAGCTCTATCTGTGTGTGCTGCATGTGAGTAGAACTAGTCATATACATACTACATTCACTCAACAGACAACCCAGCAACAACACTCCGTGGCGTCTGTCCATTGTTGGCATTCGCCTCCATTGATGGCCCTAAACGTTCAGCCCATTGCCCTAACCAAATCTAGTGGGCAACTTCAACTCAGACAGCGTCCACGTCGCGCTTAATTGGTTTTTTGATTGACAATTTTCAAGAGGAATCCAGCCAGTCAACCAGCCAGGCAGTCAGGCAACCAGCTAGCCAACTGCAGTGGCATTCAGAAAAAAAAAAAAAAAATGGATTGTAGCCACGCTCTCATAACTGGCAGACGCGGAAAAAATGCGAAGGCAACAACAAAATGTTTATTGGCCCAAAAACACAGCGTCAAAACAGCACAAGTCGCACATAAACACACACACAGACACACACACACACACACATACGAGTGGGGGAATGCGTGTGTGCATGTCCTGAACCAAAGTCCAATATAATGAAATTGTTGCTCAAACTTTGTGCACACATCGATTCGATTCTATGTGCTCTTCCAGCAGAGACAACATCAATAACAAATTTCTCAGTCAGTGCGCATAATTTGGCCATTTAATAATCGACTAGCTGGGCTTTTAATTGCCTTTGGTAACATCGAGAGTATGCCAGTTGACAAACAAATTGCATACGCTGGCTCTGTAACAGTAATTAACAAATAGCAATTCCAAATGGCAGAGTCTGCTCGACCGACAGATTCTGTGTAGTTGAGTTTTTGCATCGAATGATGGATTGGTCTAATGCTTATGTCAATGGGTTGATATATTCACGTGTTAATGGACTGAGTCGGGCATTGATTTATTGATGAATCGATATAAGCATGCACCTAGTGAAATATTGTTATTGGGATAGATATTTTGGTTGGACGAATGGCTAAATTAATGAAGAAGAAATTTATTGAGAAGGTGATGCATGAATGGATATAAAAGACTCTTGACACGCTGAGGGCGTACAAAGGATATATTGCATATATTACTGTATAACTGCATTGATTGAAACGAATTGAAAAAGGTATTGATTTTGTGAGTCATTGAATTTGCAGTGCAGCGCAACATATTCAAGAGATTTTTCAACAAATTTGAGCTTTATTTTTACTTTATTACGAGAATAAAATAATCATTTTTACTTAAAACAAAAAATTAACTACATAAATAAATTGCAACTGCATGTTAATCTAGCGTTAGCCTTTAGAGTACATTATAAAAAAGTAAATAGCAGCCTATTGAATACCCTTTTTATGTGCCTAAGAGTTTACAAAACGTTTCTGTTCACTGCACACTTCCGGTCATTGGGCATTGGGTATTTTTTGCTGGCAGACAAATTAAATTCAACTTTTGAAGCAATTTATGAAATTTGCACGCAATTCAATTGTTTCGTTGTCGTCGTTGTTGTTGTTGTTGTTGTTGACGCTACTTGTGCTTTGATGGTGCACAACAGGACACAGAGAATGAGAGATAGAGAGAGAGAGAGTGAGAGAAGCTGAACTAAAAAGCAAAAGTGCTCAGTGGTTGGCTTTGTGGGCGAACGGGGCTGAGTTGGGCGTGGTCGCCCACTAGCGCGCAGCGACAACAGCGGCCAATAACAATAACAATTTGCCACTCAATTAGCGTGGCCATTACTGAAAAATCCACTTAAGTATGCAATGATAAAAATTCAAAAGCGAATCGCTCGCCCCCCAAAAATTCTGTTGCTCTATGGGCAACATATATGTATACGCAGCCAGCTACATACATACATAAATATGTATATATGCATATAGAAACTCTGTTAAGTTTGATGTTTTTTGCCATGCCAACAATACATATTTACATTTATGTTTACATATTTATCTGTGCAGGGTCTCGAGCGCATCGTTGTGCGAAGCGGCTGTTCGAGTGCAGCGCCTACCGCAGCGGAGGGCAGCGGAAGTGGTGCTGCAGCTGGAGCTGGAGCAGGAGCTGGAGCTGAAGCTGGAGCTGGCGCTGGCACTGGAGCTGTGGTCACACCGCAGTTGCGACATAAAATTGAAAAACTTGCGCTCGAATTGCTGAAAATGGAAAATGAGAAATTTTCAATTCCGGCATTGAAATTGCTTTTGTCCTGCATGTATGTGGGTGAGTACCGAAACGATAACCACTCGAGGAAGTGCGCAGCAGAGGAAGTAATATAAGAAAAAGACAGCGAAAGAGAACCAGTCAAGACAATACCTCTACAAAGGCAAAGTCGAGCAAGAAGCAGATGTGCGTAAGCCGTAAGAAAACAGTCGAAAATATTTTGTTATTTTATTTAACAGCTGCAAAACAGAAGAACGAAAAAAACAGAACAGCAAGAGCAAAAAAACAATTGTTATGGTGGTCCAACTCCCCTGGTGAGCGAACATGCTTCGAATATCGTGGCTTAAACTGGCCGGCTTTAAGCCCTACCGATAGCAGAGCTTAATCATATGCATTAAACATATAGAGCACTTGCATTTAGTTCCAGTTCTACTCCAGGTCAACTGGTTGACTCTTCCGTTGGCCAAAAGTTAATGCTGTGTGTGTCCGTTTGTTTGTTGGCCATGGCCAGCACCGGGTCAACAGTTTGCTGCCCATTTCGGCCATGACTGTGCGTATGTGAGTGTGTGTGCCTGTGTAACTACATGCTTGGGTAATTGCTGTCAATGCTTACGGTATGCTATTTGTTGGCCTTGGGTGGCTGGCCAGTCGACCAGTCTGCCAGTCCTTCAGTCGGCCAATTGGCCAATTGACCAACTGGTTGGCCAGCTGCCTGACAAGCCAACAATTATTTCTCTGGCTGGCGTTATTACCGCAATTTCGGGGCAATTATTAGCGTTGAGAAGTGTTTGACACTCGGGCGCATGCAGACACATTGCGCACTCACTCCAGCTGATAGCCTCATTTTGATACCCTGTTTGGAGAGTGCTAATGTGGGGTACATTTGTCTATTAGCTAAGGACAAATGAAGGCATATGCAATATGAGAACTCGAATATTGTAAAGTATTTTATATATTTGTAAAGATTTTTGATTGAATAGGTCTGAGACAGACATTCAAGAAATCGATATATATCGATAAACATTAAATGGAAATTCCTTAGGATTTTCTAGGATTATATAGCTTACGCTTAAAGAATCCATTAGTCAGTTCATTTGTAAAGACTGATTTAGATACTAATCGATGCCTTCTAACGATTTCTTGATGTTGCCGACATGCTACTATGTTTACAGGATATTATGTAGTGCCTCACTTGCGCCACTGTGCTAATCTTTGGGGAACTGTTCGATGGCTGTTTCGGTCTTTATTTATTAAACAGTATCGTCCATGTTCATTTGACATTTCATTAGCCCAACTTAACTAACATAGATATAGATATATATATATCGGAATATACATGTATAACTTTCTATATAGAGACACTGTCTGGCTGTGTTGCTTTTGGACTTGTTGATCGGACCAATTGGCTAAGCTGAAAGCCATTTAGCTGCGTTTAGCTGCGGCCCCAAAGTGGGAAGCCATCGAGAGTCGCTCCATTGTGTTTTTGCACTTTAAACTTGAAGTTTAGCTCTGCAGCCGGAGTGACATGTGTGCAGCAGCTTTTTGGCCAAAACAATGCTGGCGATGTGCATAAATATGGCACCAGGATGCCATGCCATGCGATGCGATGCGTTGCGATGCTCGCACGCAGCTACATGTATTTTTCTTGCACTTTGTCAGGCTCGATGCGACGCGATGCGATGCTGCGTAGTGCCATTCGCTTTTAGGTCCTTGGCAAATGCGCACAGCATGCAAATCCTTTGAAAAATGTCAATGTTTGCGCTAGTTGTGTGCCACGCCCCCTTCGTGCAGCCGCCAAACGAGCGTTTTGCCAGCAAATGGCAGCAGCTTCGGCGATTTTTAGGCCCTCTCGCAGCCGGCCAGAACAAAGTGCAGCTAAGCGGAAGTTGGCCATGCCTCGGCACACCTCCTCGCCCGTTCGTTAGCCTGGTTTATTAAAGTGTTTGGCGGGCGCAAAACAAAAAAAACGAACGGCACAAATAAATCGAGTCCCAGGCGACGCAAGACGACACTGCACGCCCACAAAAATACGAAAAAAAGAAGAAAAAAAACAAATGGCAGCAGTCTAAAAAAAGCGCCACCTTCGTCTCTCCCATTCATCGAGCAGTACGCAATAATAAATATTTGCGGCTATATTGGGTATCCTTTAAGGACCCGCACAGCAAAACGCAACCTTTTTTCCTAGCCAACTTTGTGCTGCTCGTGCCCGTGTCTGTTGTTTCGCTTCGTTTCGCTTTTTTGGTTTTTTCGTCTTCTCTTTTTTTTGTGAGTGTATCTTAAACGAATTTTACAGTTTGTTAGGTTTTTTTGTGCTTCCATTGCTAACGGCATTTGTGGTGCGCATAATTGTGGCTACGAGCAGCAGCACCGCCACCACCAGTCCAAATCCTGGCCAACAGCAGCAGCAACAACAACAACAATGGCCAAATTGGCAACAGCCAGCAAGAATGTTAAGCCCGCAAAAGCTAAAGGCCAAAGTTGGCGCTGGCCAAGCGCGCGCATTGTTAATAATTCGCACACGCCAAAGCTAAATGCAGCCGCACATGAAGCAGCAAAGGCTTTTAATGTTGACCCACACATACATGCGCTTAGCTATGTATATGCTCCACACGAGCAACAGCAACAACAACAGGTTTTTAGCTTCTGTTCGAATAGTAGTTACGCCCACTAATTCGCACAGCTTATACACATATCGGACATAAACAACTCATTTGCAGCATTTTCGTTCACCCACAACAAAAATGCAAACCGAAATATTACCCGATCCAATCCCAAAATGTAAAAGGTTAATCAGAATCCGCTTGTAACGACTCCGCCTATGACTTCTGTACGGTTATAACGACGTTTTCATAAGCGATGCTCTATCTATAATCGGATTTTACAGTAAAATATATACCTCACTCATATTCAATTATCGGTAGGCTAAATAGTTGTTTTACAACTGCTTATAGGGCATCTCAGCTTTTCTGATTACCTGAAATATTTCGTACAAGTCTAGCTATATTAAATATTGATATGTTAGCTTTTTTCCCGCTCATAAGCAAACAAATAAACTTTGCTACGATTACTAAATATATCCAGACACAAACACGCCCACACACATAGAGCGAAATAGAGAAAGAGGGAGGGGCAGTGTAGACCCGTCAAGTTGTCTGGTTTTTGCGCCGAGCCGAAGGAACACGTGAAATATTCACAGAAATTTTAAATGTAAATTTATGTGGAGTATGTGGAAACATTGATGTAGACATAAAAACAAAAAATGGCCAATAGACGATGGGCGGGGTTCGCTTTGTTAATTGCAAAACTTTTGACTTGTGACATGTTTGCTCTGTTGATGTCTTTGGCTTTTTTTCATTTTGTTCTCATTTTCGTTTTTGTTTTAGGTTCGTCGACGCAGCTGGAGAATACGGAGCTGTCGAATGGCATTGTGCAGGATGATCCAGAGATAATCGCGCTGCAAAGCGATAAAGTCGATATACTTTTGCATTGTATTAAATCATCGAGTCGAGACGCTGCCTGGATTTATGGACAAGTGCTGTGCCAAATTATACGTGATTTAGTGCCACCGAATGAAATATTGACGAAGGTCATAAAGGAGTTCCTGGCCATAAATCAGCCGCACGGCGATGTTATTGCCATGATTGTGTATCAGGTGAGTAGCAGCCAAATCTGCTGGCCAACGGTGCTCAGCAGCTCTGCCGGTCAGCCCAGCTCAGCTCAGCTCCGCTGGACGTCCGTAAAGACGTCGCCATCTTTTGCGGCTAGCCACTCGTGCGTGGTCTCGGCGGGTCAGTGAGTGAGAGTGAATGTGTCTGTGTGAATGCGTGTGTGTGTGTGTGTGTGAGTGTCTTTGAGCTGGTCCACTTTGCTATGGGTAGCTTTATGGGCCTCTGTGTCTTGAGACTGGAGCGAAGCAAATGCACCGCTAATATCTGGTCTGAGCACCCGGTGAAAGGGTAAAATAGTTGCCTCCAGTTGTCAGATGCCGGCCTGCGTATGCCTGTGTGTGTGTGTGAGTGTGTGTGGAATTTGTTGGCAGCTTGAAAATTAATGGAATTCATGGCTACAGCTTGGCCCCTGACCAACCGAAAACGTACGCAAGTATGTGGGTCAGACCGAGGCAGCTGCCACAGTGGTGCCATAAAATTTTTTTCATTAGGTTCAAGGTTGCCCAGTGGGCGGCCCGTGCATATGTGTGTCCTGCTCTACGTGTGCATGGAAATTAATAAAACAAAAAAAAAAGAGAGGAAGACACGAAGCCTTGGACTTGGCTGGACTGGAGCTGGCTTAAAGCACAAATTGCACTGTCATTTGGGCCAGGCTAACTAACTGTGGCAAGCAGCGAAATTTCGTTAGAGCAAGCCGTACCCTGTTGCCTCCGTGTTGCACTCGTTTAATCAAGCATTTCGGTTGCCTTTTGTGCTTCCAGCCGGCGCCAAATTCCAAAAGAAAACTAATGTATTTTTGCTTCTGTCTGTTTTCGTATCCTTTGCTTCTTTGTTTCATTTGGTGTCTACGTGCTTTTTCAGGTGTTTCGCTCGGCTATTGACTCGTCGTTTCTGCAAATGCTGCAGGACTGGCTGATCTGCACGCTGCCAACGTTTTTGGCCCAGCCAGAGCAGCAAGGTGTCTGGGGTCTAAGCGTCATCTTTTTATCCGCTTCCATAAATCTGCATTTGATTAAACTATTTCCGCTGGTGCTCGGCAGCGGGGCATCTGCATCTGGTCCCGCTACGTCTCCTGCTGCCGCTGCCGCTGCCGTCGCCAGCCCCAGCCCCGGACACGGGCCCGCAACCACATCCGCCTGCGGCAGCGTCTGGATGCCACCGCGGAAATTGGGTCAACACGAAATTGCATTGTTCGTGACAGCTGCACAAGATTTCCATGCGAAATTGAGTGCCGAGCAGAAGTTGCGCTTTCGCGAGGCCTTCAGGAGCTATGAGCAGAGCCAGGTCTATGCCTCCATGTTGCAGCGCCTCTGATAACGTTCAAATCGGACTGGAGCCCCCAAGGATTTTGCAGCGGATTTAGCCGAAAAATAAATAAGTAAAAGACGCAAAAGAGAAGAAGAGCAGGCAAACTTGCGCCCAGGACAAGCGCAAGCGTGAATAACTAATTGCTCTGCTCGGCGCTGGCAAAGTTCAGACGGATGTCCTCCGACTCCGCTGCTGCGCCGCTCTCCCAGGCAAAACTTCTTTAATAGTTTGCGAATTCAAAATTAATTTATGGTTTACATTATGTGTAACTAATATTTAAATTATTTTCTCCCCTCCTCCAAACTTTAACGACCCGCAATTAATTTCTGAGTTGCAGCTCTCCCTCTCCCTCTCACTCTATATATCTTTGGCCTTTTAGAAAATTGTGTTTTCTTAAAAAGTTTTGCATTAGTATGCAAGCAGCTTAATCAATTGTTAGTTAATTTGATAACAAATTCCATTAGGCGAAAAGTGTAACCAACGATCAACTTATTTCCGAGTCTAACTAAGCAAAACTGTATTGTTCCAAGTCTTTAATCATGTATATTTAATAAATGTCACGCTACGAAAATATTTACTGTCACTGATCTGTGTTTTACTTGGGTGCTTGAAGGCTGCTCTTAAGCTACTTTACGTTTTTATACCCTGAACCCATTGAAAATGGGAAATCAGGGTATAATGTTTTTGTGTAAAAGTATGTAACAGGCAGAAGGAATCATCGCAGACCCCATAAAGTATATATATT